GCAAACGTTCATTGGTTGGTTTCACAAAATGAATTCTCCATGGCATTTGATTGACAAATGTATATAAAAAATATTATTATTATAGTATTATTTTATGAATTCATGATTGATTCCTTTATTTTATTTTAGGCAGCACTCCCAGTCCTCCATAGAAAGGATTCTTTTGTAATTCATGCTTAATTGGTTGAAGTGTGTCACCAGATAATTCTGCGCTAGCGCTCCAAGATTCCCCCTCAAGGACCAACATCCAAGTTTAACTTTAGAAATTATAATTTGTTGAGGAACGGAATGCTAATTCGATCCAAAAAGAAATCAAAGCTCTTCTAGGCATTAAGATGAACCACAAATTAAAGCCACCTTTTACTGATTTGTTGTCGGTCCATTAGGGAACTTTCAGGGAGTCTTTAAATACATTTTTGAGGAGGCTCAGCCTCTCTTGTCTCCGCTGACGGACCCTTACTCAGCAGAACCTCAAAAAGTACCACTTTTTTGTAGGGTTGGGTACCGAAACCCGGTGCCAATATGGTACCGGTACCTATGTAACCGGTATGTACTAGAACCGAATCAGAACGCAGATTTCGGTGCCTCATTTCGGTGCCACCAATGCTTGAGCGATCGATTGAAGTATTTGTTCTCTGGTTCTCCGAAACGGACGTAAGGATCACCGGCACCGCACGTGAAAAATAATTTCCCGACTGAGAAAATGCACGTGAACTCAAGTCGGAAAACTCTAATAATACAAATCCAACAAATCTTTGTAGTAACGCGAGTGTCCATGTTGGTTTATTGTCTTTGTTTTATCATTCAAAACGTTTATATCTTCTGTTTACTCAGTTACAGCGATAGCAATGCCTTTGTCCATATTAGGGATTTCCTGAGTCCTATTCCTTCTGTAATGCTCATGTGGAGTTTCTGCACGAGGGCGCCCTCTGGTGTCTAGTATGAATTAAACAGACATTAAATGTGTTTATAGCGCTCAATAACGGCCAATCCATCCTATTTTGGGAAATTATTATTTATTTATTTTTTAATATCGGTTCAGGCACCATTTAGGCACCGGAACCGTTTTAAAAGTATCGATTTGGCACTGGTATCGGAAAAAACCCAAACGATACCCAACCCTACTTTTTTGGTTATTTTATATCAAGACTTTAGCTATTTATTATCTGAAGATGAACCATTGCTAGCTCTTCTCCTGGGACACCTATTCACCTCATTTAACACCCAAGTGCTTTTTTAATTGAACTCATCTGTGTCTCTGAGCTGCTCTGAGAGCCATTAGCTCAAGGGCTTCTGGGAACCAGGAGGACTGAAGTGTCCGTGTTTAGGGATGTCCTAGAATGATTAGTGTCTCGGTGGCATTGTGAGCGGTTGAATAAGATTAGCTTAGTCTGGATTGTGTAGTTAAGCATTTATGTATTTCACTAAGAGTCTCATAATGCAAGATGCTTATACAATCAGCTCAGCATCTCTGTAGAGCCACACTGGGCTTATCGTGGCTGCGAATTTAGTTTCAGCATGATCTGAGTGAAATTGGATTTTAAACAAGTTACCTTACCATGCATTTTTTAATTTTGTGTTTATTGTCGGTGGATTATGGACTTTGCATTAAGGTTTTGTTGTATTAATAGTAAGCAAGGTTGTATAATGCAAAATAAGGTTTTATTGTACACATAGTTGACTAATTTATACAGAATTCAGAAATAGGTATCTTATCAAATAAAACTATTGCAAATGGGTTCTTTTTAATATCTCAGTAGTTCCATTTGAGAGCAAATTGAGACTTTTAAATGGCAAATGTTTCATTATATTTGTTTTTGGGTCAGGCACCATTTAGGCACCGGAACCGTTTTAAAAGTATCGATTTGGCACCGGTATCGGAAAAAACCCAAACGATACCCAACCCTACTTTTTTGGTTATTTTATATCAAGACTTTAGCTATTTATTATCTGAAGATGAACCATTGCTAGCTCTTCTCCTGGGACACCTATTCACCTCATTTAACACCCAAGTGCTTTTTTAATTGAACTCATCTGTGTCTCTGAGCTGCTCTGAGAGCCATTAGCTCAAGGGCTTCTGGGAACCAGGAGGACTGAAGTGTCCGTGTTTAGGGATGTCCTAGAATGATTAGTGTCTCGGTGGCATTGTGAGCGGTTGAATAAGATTAGCTCAGTCTAGATTGTGTAGTTAAGCATTTATGTATTTCACTAAGAGTCTCATAATGCAAGATGCTTATACAATCAGCTCAGCATCTCTGTAGAGCCACACTGGGCTTATCGTGGCTGCGAATTTAGTTTCAGCATGATCTGAGTGAAATTGGATTTTAAACAAGTTACCTTACCATGCATTTTTTAATTTTGTGTTTATTGTCGGTGGATTATGGACTTTGCATTAAGGTTTTGTTGTATTAATAGTAAGCAAGGTTGTATAATGCAAAATAAGGTTTTATTGTACACATAGTTGACTAATTTATACAGAATTCAGAAATAGGTATCTTATCAAATAAAACTATTGCAAATGGGTTCTTTTTAATATCTCAGTAGTTCCATTTGAGAGCAAATTGAGACTTTTAAATGGCAAATGTTTCATTATATTTGTTTTTGGGACCCCACAAGCATTAAATGGACTCATTTTTTCCCTGTCTGCTCGCTTTAATGCCACAGTTCAAGATGGACACTAATGAAGGGCATGAAAATGTGTTCGTCATTTTCTTGCATTGCTAGAGTAATTCATCACATGGCATTTACAGCTGACCAATATTAGAAACAATTAGAGATTTTAACTGACATAAAATAAGTTTAGGTTGAAGTGTTATAATTGCAAACACTAAAACTGAAATAAAAATAAAGCTAAATAGTAGCTAATGAAAATGACTAAAGCACATAACAAAATTACTAAAACTTAATTACAATTAAACCGAAAATATAAAAAAACAAATTCAAAATATTTATCAATAAATATTCATAAAATGTTTATTCACTCTGCCACATAAGAAAATGCTATCGAGATCCAGGTATTATAGACCTTGTTGGTTGCTGACGTCATGTTTGCTGACATGTCTGGCATTTTCTTCTCAGAAAAAGATGCTAGTAATCAATAGTAAACACCTCTAGAGTTTCAGAAGAGATCTCAAAATGTTTCACACTGTGCAATAGATTTCAGAGATTTCAAAATGAAATCAAAACATTTCTTGTCAGCTATGCTACCTACATTAATTATACAGCTCTATACTTTTACTTTACTGTATGTCAGCAATTGTCTCATTTCTTTCTGTTTTTATTTGTGATACTTAATTTTAGGAGAAACATCTGACATGAAGTTGATACTGAAATGAAAATAGATCTGGAAAAAGTCTCAGCAACCTCTGAGAAATTTTTTTTTCCCCCTCTGGGAACAGACATTGCGTAGAAACCTGCCTCAGAGGAGTGAAATTCTGGGTTTCCCATACCAATTCCTTTCAGAGTCTGTAAACACCTTGATCCTGGGAACAGGAGGGAGGGATGATCCCACAATCATAAGTTTTGGATGCTACATTAGATTCCCCTGAATCCCAGAGCAATAACAGCATTACGGCAGAATGGTTTTACCACAACACCACCATGCAACTTTTGTATGAAGATATTAGAAAACGTAGAAGTTCATTTTGAACAAGGCTTACATCTAAAACTATTCCCGTAACTCTGCTTTGGTTGCACATTATTCACTTTTATAGCCTTTTTGAAGCTGTTTTCTGTCATATTGTCTTAATATATTCTCACATTAAGGTTATTAAACAGCCTGCCTGCCCACGACACTCATGCTGTTGTAGTATTTCTGTAATACGTTATTGGCAAATGCATTATAGTTGTGCAACTCTGGCCATAATGCGACTAAAGGAAGTCATATTATCTTTCAGCAACTATGACATCATGTCATCTTACCATTGTACATATTTACTATAAAATATAATACTCTCAGAGCTGCTCATTTACACTATAATATAATGGGAAATATTTGCAGCTATGTATTATATTAGATATTTGGAGAATGAAGAAAGAGAGGCTTGAGTATCAAAGCATTGCAATCAAAAGCACAACACCACACCTGTTATTCAATAATGCTATTGCATCTTGAGGTCACCCAAAGGTCTTTTATTTAGAAAAAAAAAAAGCCCACACCTCCGCAAGCCAGTCATTGGGCATTTTTAAGTATTGAAAAGAGCAGTTTTGACATTTTGATAATGGGTGATTTCTGCAACAGCATTTTGGACAATTTGATTGTGCAGTTTAATTATCAAAGATACAAAAAAACACTTTTTTTACATGCCTTTTGGCTTGTAAATTTGAGGGGGCATGTGCGGTTTGAATGGGCATGACACTTCTGTGCTCACACACACACACACACACACATCCACATGTCACTTTCCAGTGATTTCCTTCATTAGAGGCTGTTTCATATGGCATGCTTGACTAGAATAAGGGAAGTTGTAGCAGACTGAGGAAGCTATCTGTCTTTTTCTTGCCTTCCCCGCTGCTTTTCTCATGAGTAGAACATATGAAGATTGAGAGAGAGTGTTTTTGGTTGCCGGTCACAGTCGTGTCTCTAAGGGTTAAGCTGATTTAATTGACTTCATCATGGCTAAGAGTATGTACTGGCTTCGCAGTCCCGCACTCACTGCCATGCAACACCGCAGGCGCTTCAGTGATGTAAGTAGATTTAATGTATGAAAGTGTAAGGAAAAATCAATAATAGTGAATTTGTGTGTTTATATAGAAAGGCCAAGTGTAAGAGTGTAGACATAATGTATTAGTGTAATGTGTGATTGTGTTTCTTTTTACTGTAATGTGTGCCAATGTTTTACTTTTGATTTCGTTTTTAATCATCCTGTTTGATTTAACAGATATTATCATTGTATAAATACTTCACAGTTTGAATAATATATTAATTAGTACTAGAATAAGGGAAGTTGTAGCAGATTGAGGAAGCTATCTGTCTTTTTCTTGCCTTCCCCGCTGCTTTCCTCATGAGTAGAACATATGAAGATTGAGAGAAAGAGTGTTTTGTTGCCGGTCACAGTCGTGTCTCTAAGGTTCAGCTGATTTAATTGACTTCATCATGGCTAAGAGTATGTACTGGCTTCGCAGTCCCGCACTCACTGCCATGCAACACCGCAGGCGCTTCAGTGATGTAAGTAGATTTAATGTATGAAAGTGTAAGGAAAAATCAATAATAGTGAATTTGTGTGTTTATATAGAAAGGCCAAGTGTAAGAGTGTAGACATAATGTATTAGTGTAATGTGTGATTGTGTTTCTTTTTACTGTAATGTGTGCCAATGTTTTACTTTTGATTTCGTTTTTAATCATCCTGTTTGATTTAACAGATATTATCATTGTATAAATACTTCACAGTTTGAATAATATATTAATTAGTATGTTTACAAGATTTTTTTGTTGTTGTTGCATTATGGTAATGTGAATTGAAATCTCAGTTATTGACCTTGTTTGTGACCAAGTTCAAAGATAACTGTAGATTTGAATTATGATCATATATTGATCTGAGGGTTTTGAGATCAGTACAGAGTGTACTGTGTAAGTTTGTGATGCAATAGTCCTTTAGGATGTCTTTGCTGAGAAAGAATTCTCACTTTCATTGAGAAATGTCAAATTCACTGCTTGGTTGATTTGTGAAATGAATTTAGGAAATAGCATTTCTGTCAAGTTTACATTAGCTGCATATGTGAGAACTAAATGTCCCCACAATGACAGAAGAACTTCAACTGACCTGTATTATGGGACTTCCCAACAGTTAATCAAATAAGGAGACTAATTAATGTCTTAATTAAAATAACTAAAAATGCACAAAGGTTTCGGCATGGGGTGGGTTAAGGGATAGGCTTTGGGTTATAAAATGAAGATATTTAACTGGGTGTTTCTTCAACTTTAGGCACTCTTATGTCCTAGCGGTTGATTTATAATAAAACTAACAAATTCTGTATATGAATGTTACATCAAAAATGTCTCAGCAAACTTTTTATCATCCCTTCATTGATTTATATTTATCTTTTTGTGTCCCATACCCAGATTATCATTTTACATGAAAATCCATCATAATAATATGAGTTGATGCATTTTTAAAACTGTAATGATCTAAAAAAGTGAAATATACTATTTTTGATAGCAACTGTGCGAAAATTTGTTGTATTAATTTTTCAAAAACTTTTTGTTTTAAAAGAGCTCTCTGAAAGTCAACAGGCCCAAAAGTGTCCATGGTTAAAGAAACATGCAGTTAGCTTAATATAAAAACAAAAGTAAATTAACCACAAGTGTGTGTGTGTGTGTGTGTGTGTGTGTGTATGTTTGATGAATCAGCGAGTCATAGGGAGAAACACATCAAAGTTCCAGTTTCAGTGCAGTGTTTTGTTACATTGAAGTCAGTTAAGGTACTCTGAACTTTGTGAGTGTGTTATGTAAGTGCAAGTTTACACCTGTGTATGTGTGATTTTTTTGTTGAGAAAAATCAGTCACTGGCAATGATTTTGCAGAGTCCTACCTGACTCTGCAGTCATTTCAGCATTAAACATTAAAAATGGTACTGCATTCTGACAAACTATGTTTTTTATCTTTTCAGTAGTGTTTGCCTTTGCAAAATTTGCTGCTGAGTTGCAAAGACGTTGCTATGTGGTTTCAGGGATGTTCTGATTGGCTGTGGTGTTGCTATGAGGTTGCTAGGGTGTAGTTAGATGGCTATAGGGGTGTTCTGATTGGCTGTGGTGTTGGTGTTATCCCGCCTTCAAAATAAACTCATATGTATTTTACCTGTTTTATCATCTGGCAGCAGAAAATCCATTCACTTAGAAAGTGCAGGATGAGTTAAGTTTAATATTTAGGGTTATGGGTTTATTCAAATACATAACCCTAAGTATGAGCATTATCAAACATGTTAATAAGCAGGCAGTGATTTCTGAACAACATTCCCCTTAATTCATGTTGGCTTTTATGCTGGTTTATTCTGAGCTGTGGGCTCAAAGATATAACACCGCACCGCAGCAGTAGCTAGTCAGGTCATATCCTTCATACGCACAGCTGCTCTGTCTCCGCGTTAAATTATGCTGTTTCACAGTCTTCATCTCCCATTGAGATGAACCGTATGATAGGGAGGAAGGACATCTGGTAGTCTGATGCACTGTTGATCATAGGATCAAGGCAGGGAGCTCCGTCCATTACTGCAAAGCCACTGTCACTGAGAGAGACGAGAGTCGTTCTCATGTCAAGTGGACTCGCAGACTGTCAGATCTCACCCTTTCTCAGTGTGTTCATCCTCCTCTCTCCCCTCTCTTTTATCTGTTCCTCCTGATTCTCAGACATCAGATATATTTGCAATGATAGAGCGAATGCAGGTGAGAAGTCCACATTTTCATCCGGTTTTGTGTTTATTGCTTTTCCTGCAATCTCTCGCTTTTTATGACCTCTGACCTCTTTTGACCTGCAATATGGTGACACCTTTCCAGTCTTTGCTTATTATTACTGTCATCGATCTACCTGTCATTTATATTCTGAGGTTCTCTCTCAAATACGTCAAATAATTCACTTTATCATTTATACATGTAGCTTGAGCTCTTCTGTCATTATTTCTAGCCTAACACTGTTTTCAAGAGTTTATAGTCTACGCAAGTACACAGATGCTTGGTCGGCACATTTTAATGTTTTTTTGAACCTGGTAATCCATCATAATTTAAGCACAAAGAACATTTTATGCTGCTGACATTTTTAAAATTAAATTATAATGAAGTAGTAGTTTTTAAAAAAATCAATAAATACATATTTCTTTCTCATTTTATGTCAGTTTATTTCACATTTAAATAAGACTTTCAATCCCATAATTCTGTTACATAACGTGCATAATTGCATAAGGGCTGTAACAAATCTAAAGGGGGTGATAGAATTTCTTTTTAATATCTGTGTTATTTAATTATACATTTATTTATAATACATTAATTTTAAATATATTTATGCCAATGCCCATTGTTGCTTTCGAAGCTTGAATACTTGCGTAGAATATGTTTCAGACCTAAGTGTCTCTGTGTAATGTCTGTATTTAAATTTTTGCATTTATTAGCCATGCTTTCAATTTTTTAGAATTATCAAATGTATATATTATTTCAAGTTATTAACAAATTATGAATTTTAATTTCTGGTATTTACTATTCTAATAAAGTATATGATTTTTTTATTCCTTTATTCCATTTGATGGATGTTTTTAAATGAACTGGATTTATTAAATATCCTCTTCTTTTTTGTAAACACAGAGCAGCAGAATGGATGAGCAGAGGTGCACTCTTCCACCTCCTCTCAAAGTAAGTGTGTACATTTAGAGCCACACAAACAAGCATTAAGTGTTATAGTCATTACAATCCGTTCTCACAGTCACTGCTATCAGCGCTGTTTATCACATGTGCAGAGAAACACAGTGTTGCTTTTGTTACAGACGGATGTTTTCATATTAACCCTCATTCTCTTAGCTTTAAAGTTCAGAAAAGCTCTGCTGCTGACATTTTAATGCATCATAGGAGCTCTTCTGACATGAAGGCCGTTTCAAAAGGTTGGCAGCATAATTATCCTGCCTATCAAAATACCTTTTGGCCAAACTGTAAGGCAGAGAAAAGACAATCCCAAAATGCACTGCAGGTAGCTTAGTGTAAAAGTGTAAGATGATGGATGATGGTGATGTTTAAAATACAAGTATTGATTTATAAAATGTGTTCAAATGAGTAAACATGTGCTAGGCAAGTGCAATTACAGTACATGTCACTGTTTCAGCATCTTGTGCCATAAGCATTGCATCCTTTAAGATGCTGCAATGATGAGTTAAAAATAGTTCAACTTTTTGTCATGCTGCATATCAGTGTCAATTTTAATTTACTGCAGCTATCAGAGGAACATCAGAAAAATTAACTTGTTTTCCGCTTAATTTATGTTTGTTGTTCTTAATCCATTGGCAGAGTTTTTTTTTTCTTATTCTCAGCCCCAGTTTCTTTATTTTTGCTTATGAAAGTAAATGTGTCTTATAGATACAGTATTTGAAAGTATTTGAGCGGTATACAAATGCATCTTCTGTTTAGCTTTGCTCTCGGTCTAGTTGTTTGTTGTGCTAGAACATGTCCTTAGGCTGCGCTCATACACAGACTGACTTACAATATAATGCTTTATAATTTTATGAGTTTATGAAGGTGAATCGCACATTCAACTTGAAATATAAATGCCCATAATAGAAGAACATATAGAAGTACTTTGTTTTTGTTCTGTGCATAAAACAAGCCAACATAAAACACCAGAACTTGTGATCTGATGCTTTCACCGCAGGCCTTGTGAATATTGTATTATCAGGGTTTGTTTGGAATCATGAGTCTCCACAGGTCTCTTTATGCATCTTCATATTTCCTTCATCCGCAGCTTAAAGTGACTCGAATGAAGGGCTCAAAATGTCCACATCTCTAATACCAAAAATGTCTAATTTCTCTGTTTCTCCCACAGACAGAGGAAGATTACATTCCATATCCCAGCGTCCATGAGGTTGCAAACTTGTTTGGCTTTTTTATATGTAAATATGAATGTTTTCTTGTTGTACTGGTTGAAATATTGTGGTTTTTGTTTTTGTGGGCTGGCAGGTATTGGGTCGAACAGGCACTTTACCACTCATTCTGCTGCCCCAGTTTGGGGGTTACTGGATTGAAGGGACCAATCATGATTTAGGCTCCTCCTCCACACCAGAGAAACTGCCCCCTTGCCCCGCATCACAGGTTAAACTGGAGATGAACAGCATCGCCAATATCTATAGGAAACACTTCCTGGGCAAGGTGAGACAAAGTTATATTTAATTATTCATTTAATTAGCACTGAAATCAGGTTTATCAAAGCTAAATGAACTCTTTAAAGATATGATAACATTAAATTCTAAAGTAATATTTCACCCAAAAATGGAAAGACCACAGAAGGATCATAAAAAAGTCTGTCTGTCAGTCAGCTAGCTTTTTTTTTGTTTTGTTTTTTGTGGGCAATAACCAGAATGATTGCCAATATTGTAATGAAAATAATACTAATGTATGGAAAATGTAATATGCAGGTTATTTAAAAAAATAAACAACCACAATGTGCAATCTGGAATTTTAAATAGTAAAATCAACTAAAACCAAAAACTATATCAGCCTCATCAAACCAATGACTATTTTTTTTAATTTTTTTTTATTTAGTCATTTATCAGACGCTTTTATCCAAAGCGACTTACAAATGAGGACAACAGAAGCAATCAATTGTAGTATTAAAACAACTAAAAACAGATCCAAAACTAAAAGCTAAAACTTTATAAATACTACCTATACACATTTTAAAAATAAAGATATTAAATAAAAATGACAAATGCATACAACAAAATTTCAAAACCTAACTGACTATCATTTAAAAAGACCAAATATTGGCAGTATGAAATTATATGAAATACAGTATGATATGTTATAGTCAGATATATTATGCCTTATTTGTAGATACAATTAATTTTGTTGTTTCCTTTTTTGTTGTTACCTTGTGTCCCTATATAAAAATAAATTATTATTAAAAGAGTATTTTGCTTTGTATTTATATATCTATTTTATTTATCTATGCTTTACCTACCATATTAACATGTGTTGAGGTATAGTTTAAAATAAAGTTGATCAAATTGATGGATGATTCTTACGGTTGGTTGTTTTGTCTCATTATTGCCGTTATAGTCATCTTCCTCTGCAGTAATAATACTCTTTGAGTTTGCTGTCTCTCAGGGTCAGAGCTTTTAGGAATCTGTGATAATGTGAAGAGTCTTTCAGAGGGTTTATGCATGTATAACTCTTTCTGCAGGAGCACTTTAATTATTACTCAGTGGACAGCGCTCTGGGCCACCTGGTCTTCTCGGTGAAGTATGATGTGATTGGAGACCAGGAGCACCTTCGACTGTTGCTTAGGTACTTCAGACAAACACTCTTGACTATTCCCAGATGAAAAATGTTTTGCTTTGATGTTTTGAACTCTGTTTTTCATTAAAACGTTTGTTGCAGATGTTCCTCCTGAAATACCTTAGGAGATATATAAAAGTAAATTGCTGATATACAGTTTTGTAAAAGTATAGAGCCAATCTCAGGTCTCAGAACAGACACCTCATTCCCTTGTAATGCTACTTCCTTATATTCGATTTACAAATCCTTTTTGCTACCTCAATTGATATCCAGGTCAAGAAATTGAATTGGAATTTAAAAGATACTTTCAATTCAGTTCTGAATGGTGCACAACCCTGTCGCAGACACTTTTCTTTTTAAAGAAACATTAATGTCCACACTCTCCTGTCACATATTCTCTCATTGTTCATTTTCGAAGATGTTCTGACTTAAGTGCTCTAAATGGCCAGCAGAAACACAAGGACACATCCATTCTTTATAACCTAAAGCCTGTCTCGAAGCCCTTTAATGATGGGGATGGGTACAAGAGACAGTGTACATGTCAGAGAGAGGTTGATCTGTAAAGCCTCTCTTTTATAAAGGGATCTCTTCAGGGACTCTTTGAATGTTGTGTATTGGCTGCAAGATAATTGACAAGGGCACCTGTGAATGCTGGAGTGATTCACATGGCTACTTTTTGATAGTTGAACTACCATTGATCTCTCTCTCTCTCTCTCTCTCTCTCTCTCTCTCTCTCTCTCATTGTCTTTTCTGCTAAATATAACATTTACATTACTTTAATGCATTTACACATTACACACTTTTATGCAAAGCGACTTACAATAGAGTAACATAAGCAATTTGTCTCAGACGAATTAGCTGAGAATGTGTTTGTGAAGTACAGTGGAGTCTAGTTTGGTTATAGTGGTACTATCTGTCTTTTAACTGTAGGTCAAAGTTTAAAACCTACCATGATGTGATACCAATTTCTTGTCTGACCGAGTTCCCTAATGTTGTCCAGATGGCGAAGGTAGGACATTAACATAAATAGTTGAGCAAAGAAGAATTTTGCATTGCTGTCAGTGGATTAAAAAAAATTATAATAATCCAATCAATTGCATGACATGTGGATGAATTCAGTTAAAATGATATTTATTTTTTTGCAATTATACACATTATACATTCAATTAATTTATTTTAAATTATTTGCATATATCAATGTTTGCTGAGAAAACTCCAATGCAAATGAGATCTTACAAAAGGTGACTTTAAAGTTAATTTATTTTATCCCCATGAGGAAAATGTTATTTTTTGTAATTGATTTGTACTAAATTAATATGGTAAATTGACAGCCTTAGTAATCATATAAAATTATTTGATTAGAAATGTGTAAGTGAGATTAATCATAAATCTTTTGTCTTTTTTTAAGCTTGTCTGTGAAGAGGTGAATGTGGACAGATTTTATCCTGTCTTATACCCAAAGGTAAGCTGGAACAGAAACATCAAAAACGAATGAACAAGTCATGTAAATTTCTTTCACTGACCCTCATTTGTAACCCATTTAAAGGCATCTAGACTTATTGTGACCTTTGATGAGCATGTCATCAACAACAACTTCAAGTTTGGAGTCATCTACCAGAAATTTGCACAGGTTAGCTCACCTTTATGAGATTTTCATTCTTGGTTTGCTTAATTTATATTAATTATGAACTGAAAATGTTCTCTTTTTTCAGACATCAGAAGAGGAGCTATTCGGAAACAATGAGGAAAGTCCAGCTTTTATTGAGTTTCTGGAGTTCTTGGGAGAGAAGATTGAACTTCATGAATTTAAAGGGTATAGACCTACAGTATTTAGCATGAACAGTACCCAAGTTGGACATTTTTCCTGGTCCTGGAACAACAATCCTATCTACCATTCACATTTTAGGGTTAGATGGAGAGCTGTTGTTGAGGCTATCTTCAAGTCATCTTATGATATTGTAATTTGCCTTTGATTTCAGGTGTAGGTCAGGGTTTAATGAGTAATGTGATTGTTTATTGGAATGTTGTCCCAGGACCAACAAAAGGTTGTTTGTACATCTGGTATGTTTGAGTTTGTAGAGTAACTCAGAGCTTTTTGAACTTCTTTCATAATACAGCTTTCGTGGTGGCCTGGATGTGACACATGGTCAGACAGGAAGCGAGTCAGTCTATCACAACTTCCACAATAAAGAGATAATGTTCCACGTGTCCACTAAGCTGCCATACATTGAAGGTGATACCCAACAGGTAAGACCTCATGTTTTGTTTTCATTTTAATTTTTGTTTTGCGTTTTGTTTTCTTTTATTCTGCCTTTTTATTTTTTTGTTTTGTTTTATTCTGCTACATTCAGCTTTATTTTGTGTGTGTGTGTGTGTTCTGTTATGTTTTTTTGTGTTGTTTTGATTCACAATCAGTGGAGAAAATATGAAAAACATTTTTTGCTTCTGCATGATTCAGATTCCCCAGATTTTAGATTCCTATTCTTAGCTAAATCAAACTTTGGTTACCTGTAGAGGGTGGGTAAATACATGGGCATGCTTAGGACAAACCAGTAATATTCTGGGATATTGTTTTATGTCACATGTAGTGTTAGTTTGGGGTATATTACCAGTTGCAGCCCCCCAGAGTTGCTTGGCCACTGTGTTATGCACTGACCAAAAGCATGCTCTGTTAATTAGCAAGCAAACCACACAGTGCAAAGGACTGATCCTGGAAAGCCATCTGTTGTCATGCACGCTTTGCTTTGCTCAGAGAGAGAACATCACCTAGGGGTTTCAGCACAGACTGCCCTCTTACAAAGCTGGCGACTAAAACACACCCTCTTCAGCATGGTACCTCAGAGGCCAGAGATAACATATGGGTACAGACTCATCACCTGCTGCTTTTTAATCACTATTGTACGAGATATGTGATGTCATATGAGAGTTACAGTATAGCGATATGCTAATGGCCTCCAGACTGGCACGACAAATGTGTTTTTGCCTTAAAATGGTTTGTTTCTATCTAAAAACATCGTTTTGACTCTGATGTTTGCCACGGGGCTGCAAACATGCTTCGATATGTCTTATTAATTTCCTGAGCACTTTGATGATAAAGACAAGCAGTTTTCTTTTGAACTTGTGAATGTCTGTGAACTGTTTTCTGTTATGACAGCACTCTCTAATAAGTATTTATGAGCAAGCTGTGAAGACAAGCGAACGAACGGTTCAGCTGAGGAAAGCTAATCGGATAAACCTTTGAAGATTTATAGAAGATAAAACTGACACCCTGCAGAATGCTATTAATGTTTTGTTGCAATGTTAAATCAAGTATAAATGTAACTATTGTTCTGAAATTTAGGGCTTTGACATCATTGGTGCAATAAAACACAAACCAGTTTGTAATATGTATAATATTATGATCCAATATTGTTATTTTGTGGGAAATGTAATAAATAATCTTTGTCAGTATAAGGGTGAATCTCACAAAACATATCAAGATCATAAAAAAACAAACAAAGGACATTTCACCTCAAAAGGAAAAACTATAGTGCAACAATAAGAAATATGTTCATAATACAACATACAAAATCATAAAAATATACTTAATTTTTATGCAGAATTTGATTGATTTTCTTTGTTTTAATGTTTAATTTAATAAGAATTGTAATCTGGTGTCTGGCCTAAGGAAATTATGCTGTTTGGTAAAACTAATGGCTATTTTTTCTTTTCTTTTCTTATTATTTTATTTTATTTCTGCACATTATCATCCACAATCAATAATCATAAATATGAAAAGTATGAAGATTTTGTGTGGGCCTACTCATAACTACATAAACAAATGTCTAGGCATGAACAAAATGTGTATTTATTTATGAGTAGGCCCATACAAAATCGTCATACTTTTTTTTTCCAGATTTAAAAAGATTTTTTTAATTTTATTTGGTCACACTTAGAACAAACCTGTTTTCGGTATATTACCAGTCAGAGACTAAATTAAAAGAAAAACTGTATGAAACAATAAGGAGTGTTCTTTATTGGCATGAAAGTAATATACCTCACAAACTGATATAACAGTGTTGATTCTGTTCGAGAACAAATATACATTTTTCAATGGCATGATCTATTTTAGTTTTCAGTTCAGGTTTCTGTTCTGGCCGGTCTGTTCGAAGAAGTGAATCTTAAATCAGTTGTACAGACCTTACGGACAGCTTCCTCTTATTACTTCACAGTTTTGTTGTCTTGGTATGATTTAATTGCAGCTGCAGAGGAAGAGGCATATAGGAAATGACATTGTGGCTATTGTGTTCCAAGAAGAAAATACACCATTTGTACCCGATATGATTGCATCAAATTTCCTTCACGCTTACATAGTGGTGCAAGTGGAGAACGCCTGCACTGATAACGTCCTTTATAAGGTAATTAATCTTGTTTGAATCTTTCAGAATGAAGCTTGAGCCATGGATTAATGTGAATAATGTATTTATTATAGCAATGCTTCACATACTTGATTGTTTGTTTTGATTCAGTTCTGAAGTAGTTTTTTTTTCTCTACACATTGATGATTTCCAATATAGCAAAACAACTTGTTAAACAATGTGCTTGAGACTTTTTTTTTTTGGAAGCTTTCCTGATATCTGTCATCATTTCTTTTGTGATATTATAGGTATCTGTGACGGCAAGAGATGATGTGCCTTTCTTTGGACCTGCCCTCCCAGACCCAGCTGTCTTTAAAAAGGTACATCTTTTCAGCCTGCATTTATGTAATTCAACTAGTTCCACATGGAATCTTTTGCCCCGGAACAGCTGTTTTTACAAAATTCTACACATCCTTGAACTATGGTGATAGAATTGTTGCATAATTCCGAATAAATAGATTATGATCCACAAATAAATGTAAAGAGATTGACAAAAATTAAACATATTGACAGATAAATAGAATGAGATCCACAAATAAATCGTAGAGTTTCACAAACGTGAATTAAATTCCCAAATAAATAAAATGATATTTGCAAACAAAAAAACATATTCATATATATTTTTATGTCACAAACACAACTTTGCCTGCCATTCATTTGTGAATCGCGTCTTGTGCATTTGTAGATTGTTGCACGCATTTGTGTATCACTCGCTGTGCATTTGTGAATGGCTTTCTGTATCTAATTGAGTCTTTGTTCATTGTGTTTTGTTTAGAGTGCAGAGTTTCATGAGTTCCTCTTGACCAAACTCATCAATGCTGAATATTCCTGCTATAAAGCGGAGAAGTTTGCCAAGCTGGAGGTGAGAAGGGCATACAGGGCATACACGCATGTGTTTGTGTTTGTATTTGTGTGGGAGCATCTGCATGCATACTACATTAAAATGTCTTTGTTCTCCAGGAGAGGACACGTTCTGCTCTGCTGGAGACTTTATATGAGGAGCTGCATTTGAACAGCCAGTCCATGATAGGACTGGGAGGAGACGATGACAAACTGGAGAATGGAGGAGGAGGCGGCGGCGGCTTCTTTGAGTCTTTCAAGGTAGAATCCATTTGAATCTCTTTAACTAGTAATATAGGTTTGTATTTGTTTAAATAATTACTGACAAAATGATGCTTATACAGTATATGACAAAAGAGTTCTGGTGAATGGCAGAGATGACTTTTTCAATTTGCATACTGTCCATCCTATATATGAGATTAGAATTATTGCATCCCAAATTGTAGTATGCTAAAAAGAGTGTGATATTAAAGTATGATTTATACAGTATACTGTACATGTTTTAAATACACTTTTTTAAATGTTTTTGAAAGAAGTCTCATGTGATCACTAAGGCTGCATTTATTTGATCACATGCATTATGCATTAAAATTGTTTTCTATTTAAATATATTTTTCAAAAAATGTAGTTTATTCATGTGATGAAAAACTGAATTTTCAGCATCATTACTCCAGTTTTCAGTGTCACATGATGCTTCAGAAATCATTTTTAATATGCTGATTTGGTGCTCAAGAAACATTTCTTATTGAAGATAGTTGTGCTGCTTAATATTTTTGTGGAAACCATGATAATTTTCTAAGGATTCTTAATCTTTGGTAAAATCAGGATCATAAAAAAACAAACAAAGGACATTTCACCTCAAAAGGAAAAACTATAGTGCAACAATAAGAAATATGTTCATAATACAACATACAAAATCATAAAAATATGCTTAATTTTTATGCAGAATTTGATTGATTTTCTTTTTTTTAATGTTTAATTTAATAGGAATTGTAATCTGGTGTCTGGCCTAAGGAAATGATGCTGTTTGGTAAAACTAATGGCTATTTTTTCTTTTCTTATTATTTTATTTTATTTTATTTCTGCACATTATCATCCACAATCAATAATCATAAATATGAAAAGTATGAAGATTTTGCGTGGGCCTACTCATAACTACATAAACAAATGTCTAGGCATGAACAAAATGTTTATTTATTTATGAGTAGGCCCATACAAAATCGTCATACTTTTTTTTTCCAGATTTAAAAAGATTTTTTTTATTTTATTTGGTCACACTTAGAACAAACCTGTTTTCGATATATTACCAGTCAGAGACTAAATTAAAAGAAAAACTGTATGAAACAATAAGGAGTGTTCTTTATTGGCATGAAAGTAATATACCTCACAAACTGATATAACAGTGTTGATTCTGTTCGAGAACAAATATACATTTTTCAATGGCATGATCTATTTTAGTTTTCAGTTCAGGTTTCTGTTCTGGCCGGTCTGTTCGAAGAAGTGAATCTTAAATCAGTTGTACAGACCTTACGGACAGCTTCCTCTTATTACTTCACAGTTTTGTTGTCTTGGTATGATTTAATTGCAGCTGCAGAGGAAGAGGCATATAGGAAATGACATTGTGGCTATTGTGTTCCAAGAAGAAAATACACCATTTGTACCCGATATGATTGCATCAAATTTCCTTCACGCTTACATAGTGGTGCAAGTGGAGAACGCCTGCACTGATAACGTCCTTTATAAGGTAATTAATCTTGTTTGAATCTTTCAGAATGAAGCTTGAGCCATGGATTAATGTGAATAATGTATTTATTATAGCAATGCTTCACATACTTGATTGTTTGTTTTGATTCAGTTCTGAAGTAGTTTTTTTTTCTCTACACATTGATGATTTCCAATATAGCAAAACAACTTGTAGTGTCACATGATGCTTCAGAAATCATTTTTAATATGCTGATTTGGTGCTCAAGAAACATTTCTTATTGAAGATAGTTGTGCTGCTTAATATTTTTGTGGAAACCATGATAATTTTCTAAGGATTCTTAATCTTTGGTAAATAGAAAGACAAACAAACAAACAAACAAACAAACAAAAACAGCTTTAATTTGAAATATAAATGTCATAACTGTCACTTTGATCAATTTAATTAATTATTGCTAAATAAAAGTATTAATTTCATGCAAAAAAAAACTAGTTTTACTGACACCAGCCTTTTGAACTGTAGTGTATTTAAACAGTATGCATTATAGAACAATTCAATGTTTTAAACAGCAGTATGCTACAGTTTTTATATAATTTTGTGTTAAAAAATTGTATCCATGTCAATTAATCAATTAAATCTAGTAATAGAAAAAAGTGCACTGTAAGTAGAAGTGCATTACATTATGGGATACACATGCTTACATTTTGCACATTTTGGCAAATAAAGAAAGTGACCTGGTGTTCTTTGCATATTGAAATTTTTTGAAATCTTTTAGCATACTAGTCCAATCATAACCACTTTCACGGTTTTACTGTCCTTCACTCTCCCTAGCCCTCCTGGTTCTCATATAAGCAGTTGTAGTGTCCTCTAGTGTTGCGTTGCAGTGATGCAGTGCATTGTTTTTCTCTTTCCAGCGAGTAATCCGCAATAGAAGTCAGTCTATGGATGCCATGGGCCTCAGCAACAAAAAACCACACACCGTCTCCACAAGCCACAGTGGAAGCTTTACACACAACCCCTCAGACACCCCCAAAACACCCGGCACTGTGAGTATGAATGCCCTTGTGGAGGTCAGCTGACCTTAAATTGTTAAAAAGACACAACAACTTCCTAAAAAAATTAATGCAGGCTGTCACGAGAAGCCCCAAAACAATGCGGCAGCTTTAGTTTGTGCCAGTCTGCATGCCCTCTGATCCCTCAGACTGGCGGAGTCACAGCTGGCATCCGTCGTGCCCTGCGAGTGGGTTTGACCTTTGAGTGCTTGTGTCATCATGGCACATCTGTGAGGCTTGTGCTGATGGTACACCAGGTCTTCTCCTGCCATTTCTGATCTTCATCATTTCACCATTACAAAAGAAAAAAAACTGATTTGTAATCAGCTCTTATGATCTATTTGGATGGTGGTCGGTGGAACAGATGGGGCTCTCCACAAGTGACCGTCCCATCTCCATTGCTATGACAACAAGTGCAACAGCAATAACAGAGAGAGCCTCTCATGACAGGCTGACATAACAGCCTATTAGCCATCCGAATGTACTATCAAAATCTGACCCAAATGTGATTTCTCCATAGTCCTTGATTATTCCTGGAAAAAGCCCAACCCGTAAGAAATCTGGTCCATTCAGTTCCAGGAGGAGCAGCGCCATTGGGATTGAGAACATACAAGAGGTTCAGGAGAGAAGGTAAGAAAAACAGACAATGTAGGACAGCTTTTTCTGTTAGTAGTTGAAACCATTTTATTACAAGGTTTTGAACAAACATGGGTTGTTAGTTTATTCAAAAATACATGAAAACGCAATTCATACAGACATTGATTTTTGTGTGTTTTTGAAAAATGTCAAAGTGGCTATTCTGTCTTAATAACAAAGAACAAAAGTTCCCTTTCAGTCGGTCACTCTCGACGTCACGTCGGAGGACCGACGAAATTGGGATCTCGCTTAGAGGGACCAATCTACTTCGAGTGTAAACTAAACGAGCCAATGCACATTGGCATGCGATTATTGCATCCAGCTGCTGATTCTTGTTTAGCATAATCTATTACATTTCATTAAAAGTAAGAAAACATTTTGTTGTCTTGTGACAGGAAACCCATATAAAGAAATATAACAAAGATTAGAATCTAATTAGTGTGTATTAAGTTTAGTAAGTATCTGAAAAATAAGTATATGTTTATTTCAGGTTAATTAAATGTCAAATATGAAAAATGCAGTTCTGAAAACAATAGTTAAGATGAGTTAATCATTATGTTCCAGCAGTCGAGAGGTGTCCCCTAGTCCACAGAGGACATCTGATGGTGGACACACCACTCAGGACCTCAGATTAGACAACTCATCCAGTCAGAGCTCCCCTGAGATGCAAATCACTAAGATTGGGTGAGCACCAATGAAAACACTGACATTGTTTGCCTGTAATCACACTCTAATGCAAGGTCCTCCTTTAAACTGCATATGGATGTTCAGTTTTGCTATTTTGATGTTTTTGAAAGAAATCTCTTATGCTCACCAAGTCTGCATTTATTTGATCATAAATACAGTAAAAACAGTAATATTTTGAAATATTATTACCATTTAAAATAAATGTTTTTGTAAGTTAATATATTTAAAAAATATAATTTATTCCTGTGATGCAAAGCTGAATTTTCAGCATCATTACTCCAGTCTTCAGTGTCACATGATCCTTCAGAAATCATTCTAATATGCTGATTTGCTGCGCAAGAAGCACTTCTTATCAATGTTGAAAACAGTTGTGCTGCTTAATATTTTTCTTAAAAAAAAACAAAACAAAAAAAAACATTTTTTTTTCAAAACTTTTTGATGAATGAAATGTTCAAAAGAACATCATTTGAAATAGATTTTTTTTGTAACCTTGTAAAATCTTTACTGTCACTTCTGATCAATTTGATGATCAAAAGTTCATTTTCCCCGAATACAGGTATTCATTTATTTCCAAAAAAGACCCCATACTTTGTAACAGTAGTGCATGTGCATCAAAAACATATTTCCTTTGCAAATTATTACTGTTGCACTAGTACTAGTACTATAATACACTGGGTTTTATTCTCTTTATTTGTGTCTATTATTTGTATATGTAATATGCTCAACATGTTCATGCGTAGTAAGTAAATAGCCTAACCTGAGGTTAGGTGGCTTGTTCAAAGGGAGCAATAGTTAGTTGCTCACGGGCCGATCCTTGTTAGGTTCAGAACTTTTATTACCCTCTACATAAAGCCACTCCTAGCAGCGAATAATTGATATTTGCTTTGCCATATTTGAATTCAAATGTTACTAGTTTGTCAATGAGCCATTAGTAAAACAACTACTTTGAACTTGAGAAATTACACCGGCAATCACTGAACATGAATATGGCTAGTGCTATCATAACGTACTCCATTATCATTATGAAATAGCAAAATACAGCCCAAACAACAGCTTTTAATCACATGGACAGAGCAGCTAGTGCAAATAAATTAATCTAATGTGGGTAGTTTCCAGGTGCAAAGGTAAAAAAGTGAGCAGCTTTTGCTTTTAATGTGCAGCTAATGTGTGATACAGTAAATGAAATGCGTGTGAATTCAAAAGTGAATCAAATATACCTCAACCAACAATATTAAATCAAAAAGAACATGCATCTAATCTTTGACCATACGCATTTAATGGTGATTAGTTAAAGGAGTGGTTCACCCCAAAATGACACATTTACTTACCCTGAGCCCTTTCAAGACGTTGATGAGTTACAAAAAAAAACAAGTTTGGAGAAATTTTCAGCAAATGTTAATTTTTGGGCGAACTATTCTAGTCTTTCAGGTTGATTTGATCTCATATATGGTCATGTGTGTGTGTGTGTGTGTTTGTAGTTCGGCCCTGTGCTGTCGAGCTCCCTCTATCCCGGAGTCTCAGGATCTGTCTCGCTCCTCGTCCAATGCCAGTAGCTTCACGAGCGTGGTGGAAGAGAACGAGCAGGAACATGAAGCGGCAGAGGACTACGACACCGGACTGGTGTGGTCACATACACCTGACTCATCACTGATCAATGCATGACTCATACTTTACTTTAAAGATCACTACGTTGTGATCAAATTGTTGTCACTGGATAAAATTCTAATGTATTCATACAAACTGACAGGCAGAGAAAACCACCTGTTTTTAAACGCCCATACTATTCGCAGGCAAATGCATACAGGCGTAATGGAATTTGCATTTAATTGTCTGAACAGAAGTATCAATACATCTGTATAATTTGGCAAGACTGACTGGTTCTGTTGTTTGCATATGTTTTTCATTTTTCTGGAACACAGGAGAGCCTGTCTTCAGCCGGTACGCCTCACAAACGAGATTCGTTTACATACAGCGGCATGTGGTTGGAAGACGGCTCTGGTACTGCTAGTCAGAGCAGCTCACACGGTGAGACAGAACAAACATTTCACCTCCCAACAACCCAAGCAAATATTTATTATATTCAGAGGATTACATAATGATAATTTATGTGTTTGACTGTTAGATTTTTGTGTGTGTAAAATGCTCCATTGAGGAGGCCAGAAATATGTTGCGCTCTAATTTATTTAATCATGAATATTATGCAGTTTACCCATCTTAAAGGATTGGTTCACTTCCAGAATAAACATTTCCTGATAATTTACTCACTCCCATGTCATCCAAGATGTTCATATCTTTCTTTCTTCAGTCGCGAAGAGATTAAGGTTTTTGAGGAAAACATTCCAGGATTTTTCTCCATATAATGGACTTCAATGGTGGCCAACAGGCTGAAGGTCCAAATTGAAACGATCGGTTATTTTCTTAAAAAAAAAAAAACTAATTTATGTACTTTTTAACCACAAATGCTTGTCTTGCACTAGCTCGACTTCACGCATTACGTAGTCACGTTGAAAAGGTTTTAGAAAATGACTGATCGTTTCGCTAGATAAGACCCCTATTCCTCGGCTGGCATTGTGTAGAGCCCTTTGAAGCTGCATTGTAATTCAGCCCATTGGCCACCATTGAAGTCCATTATATGGAGAAAAATCCTGGAATGTTTTCCTCAAAAACCTTAATTTCTTTGCGACTGAAGAAAGAAAGACTTGAACATCTTGGATGACATGGGGGTGAGTAAATTATCTTATTTTACAACCCTATAGCTTCATCATTAGCATTAGCATCCCTGTAGCTCAAACAGTAGAGCTGACAATGCCAAGGTCATGTGTTTGTTTCCCAGAGATAAAGACATCTGCCAAATGAATAATGTACATGATATGTTTCCTGATGGGTAAGAGTAGCAAAAAAGATCATATGAGATATGATGAATCACAAACAAAATACACCACTGACAGACCAACAACCTTCCTACTGTGATATTAACTTGTGTGCTCATTTTACTTTAAGAGATTTCACTCAGAAGTGAGATAAATTAAATAGGAAAACATTGGAGATCTGTTTTTAACCTGTTGCACCCATAATTAACTATTAAAGAACATTTTTGCAGCTGTACTTCAATCTGTGTAGTATGAGCAAATATTGTCTCTTACGGGTGACGTCACGGACACTACGTCCATGTTTTTATACAGTCTATGGTTGGCCTGAATAAAAAAACTCGTTGCCACTAGGTGCCACTTTTGGAGCGGTAAAATAGCTGTTTCCCCGGTAACGCAGTAAACAAAGCAGCACTGCGCTCACAAACGCTGCTTTCTCAGTCATTACAGGCATGATTAAATGAAAATGAGACCAATCGGACCAATCACCGCAGATTAGAGTCACGCAAAGGAGGGGTTTGGAAAAATGAATCGTTGAGCGAATCGTTTGGGAGTCGTTGAGCAAATAAGGTAAAAATAAATGCATATTATAAGACAATGGAAGTGTTTTTTGACCTTGCATGCATGTCAACCTGTTGTTGGGGATTCACAAAACCAAAATATGAACCTTTCATTACCCATAATAGGGGGCACTTTAAGAATGAAACTGATACTTCTATTCAGCAAGGATCTATTACATCGATCAAAAGTGACAGTAAAGAATCCTAAAAAAGTATCAAGGTTTTCACAAAAATATTAAGCAACACAGCTTTTTTCAACATTGATAATAATAAGAAATGCTTCTTGAGCAGCACATCAGCATATTAGACTGATTCTGAATGATTGTGTGACACTGAAGACTGGAGTAATGATGCTGAAAATTCAGCTTTGAATTTCATCACAGAAATACATTACATTTTAAAATATATTAAAATAGATAACAGTTCTTTAAAATTGTAATAACATTTCAACGTTCACTGCTTTTACTGTATTTTTGTTTAAAGAAATGCAGCCTTGGTGAGAGGATGAGACTTTTCGAAAAACATTAAACAGTCTTACCAACCCCAAACTTTTGAACTGTATATACAGTATATGCATTTATGTATAAATCTTATTCTCGTCATCAATCATTAATTATGTGTTATTTTCAGCATTTTCATAAGCAGCCCTCTGCAGCGGACACTAGACGTGCTCACAAGAGTTCCTGTAGAGACACGGATGTGAAGGGGATTGAACTGCTAGTTCCAGCCCCGAGGCGTACAGTCGGGCAAGTGTGCATCAGAATATCAGCGTGCTTTTGTAAGGACTCAACCCGTTTATCTTCTATCATGTAGCTGTTGGTCTGTAGACACAATAGCAAACCTGCCTGGCTTGTGCTGAAGGCTGGTACACGTCTAGAAGAACAGAAAAGAGCTGCCAGCTGGCAATGAATCGCGCATGATTATGGCCTTATCATAGGCTGCTTTCTTTCTTTTTTTTTTTTTCCAACTGTAGCTCTCATTGTGTGGGTTTGGGTTTTATTTGTCATATTTATTTATTTATTTATTGAGGCTCACTGTGGTGAGTAGATCTTTTAGTGACGGGGGTGGGAAGCTGTCACAAGCTTTCGGCATCTTTAAGAAAAACAAATGAGGTTAAACTTAAACCCATCACGTGAACCCACAAAGTAATACACATCTATGTGTGGTTCTGTTTTGTTGCCTTTTGTGTCATGATGTAATGATGTTGAAAATTAATATAGGTAAATGTTAAATGTTGTATTTCAGTGTAGTTCTCTATCTTCTGGTGTCGAGCACCCAAGCCATTTCCGAATCCCGTCCAATAAATGAAGTGTAGACATTATAATTTATGATGAATAGATCAGGTGTGATATGCTGTATACTTTTCAAATATTATTTATTAAGATTATGCTGTTTTACCGATCATATTTTTGTAAGGCCACAGCTGTTTGTGGTAAAACTGACGTGTGTAAACTGTACACTAATGTAGTAGCCTCATGTTTTAAAGCTAGCTGTGCAGATTAAAACATCAGTGTCTCTCAAGTCAGATATATTGAAGTCCTGAAGACATTTTAGCTTATATGACATGTGAGCAATATGAATGTAAAACTGCAGACACATATATGATAGTGGATATGGATTATGGAATACACTAGGTCGGAATATATTGATCAGATGCTTTGTTCAATAGCAAATGTTGGGCATTTTATTTTGTTTTCAAACACAAATGCACGTTTTATTCATGTTTTTTGGCGAACAAAACTGCCCATTTTAGATCATATAATAAATTTAGTTTTTAAATATAGTACTATGGTGTTAATGCTATCCGTTAGCATTACCATTCATCTCATTGATATATGGGATACAGGCTTTTTTTCAGCTAATGACTTAGAGCTAATCTACTCTCATAAAATGAAACATTTGCAATTCATGTTGTTTACAAAAACATTTGTCACTTTACAGCTCCTTAATATACTATGGTATTTACTGTTTATGATGCATATTTCAAAGAATACCATGGTATTACCATTATAGAAGAAACATGGCATTACCAGTTTCATGTCCAGAAACATGAAAATACCTTGGTACTTCTTTTGTAAGACTAATATCCCAATTTGCTTCTTGTTTGAAGAGGTACGGTAAAATTTTCTGGGAGATTTATGCTTATAAATAATGCTGTTTGGGTGCTTTCAGGGGTGATCCTTTTAAAACAGTTCATGGAAAAGGGAAAACTATTTTTGGTTGGCTGAAGCCATACGTCCGCTGTGTCAGAGCCCTAAGTCTCTCCTGATTGGTCGAACTGTACATAATGCATTTGCACATGTTAGAGCCATTAAGCACAAACTCATTCCAAACAAACACCGACTGCTTTCTGCAAGTGATTGTTCTCCTTTACAAGTGCTTATTATGCTACTTTATGAAATGTTTAACTGTAAATAAGACATTTTCTTCTTTTTTTGTAATAAAACAAAAGAAATTGTGTTTAATAAAGATCAGAGGGGTCATGAAATGTTTATTTATTGCTGTAATGTACATTATGGAAAAAAATGTACACCCAAGACAGTAAATCACCAATTCTCAGTTCTCAAATCAAATTCTTAGTCATTATTAGTAAGGCAACACAGAATGAACATTCATAGTTATAAAAACCCAGTACAGACTTTGTGAACTTTTTTTACTTTTGTTGTTAGAAAAGATAAACAACAGGTCTCTAAATGGTTAACATTATTTTAAACCACTTTTCAAAGCATTATGTATAATTGTAAGCCCTTAATTTTTTTTTTTAGAAATCCTGAAGCAGCACCACAGCAGCCTGAGGAGGAACTATACTGCTAAAACAAGGCCTGGTTATCAGAGGAAAGTTATAAGAATTTTACAAAGTACTAAAAACTGTTGTCTCCTCACACTCATGTTGTTTCATAAGTGCACGATTTGCTCTCTTCTTCAAGTTGCATTTACTGAAAATCAGCAGCTCTCAAAGCTCAATGTGCGGGTGCAACAAAAGGGTTTCATCAAAAAATAGGCACTTACATTTCTGTCTGTCCCTCATGGAAAGCTGTTATATGAATTCAGAACACACTGCATAGTGATATGAATGATTTTTGGGGATTTAGCATTCTTTCACGTTTTTTGGGAGCTTGACAGCACTTTATCATTATATGGAAAAGAGCTGCTTGAACAACATGAGGGTGAGTAAATCATGAGAGAGTTTCCATTTTTAGATGAATTATCCAATTAGTATTTTGCTCTATGAATTGCTTATTTCTAGACTTAATAGGCACTTGACAAGTCTAGTCTCTCTCTCTCACAGCTCTAGGTTCCACCATTTAAAAGGGGACGGCTCTCGAAGAACGTTGGAACCGCAGTGAACTTCACCCAGCAGTTTGTGGTACGGGGCCAAGTCATCAATGAAGGTACATTTGAGGCCCAGAGGCTCCAGAAGAGAACACACCTCTGTCTCCAGAGCACACCTGCCATTCACCTTCGGCCCAAACGGTTTTGGGATGCCCAGCTGATCCCCCAACACGATCATGTTCACCTGAGGGTAAATACAGGTAATGCATCAAAACAAAGGTCAATGTAATGGGAAAACTATAATAGCAGATTCCTCAAGTAGCTTAATATTCATGATTGTAGAATATGAATGGGTATTTGGTAGGATAGGTTAATGATACTTTACATTAAGCTATGCACTGGTTTCAAGATTAATGTTTCTTGAGCAGCAAATTAGAATGATTTCTGAAGGATCATGTGACACTGAAGACTGGAGAAATGATGCTGAAAATTCAGCTTTGCATAAGAGGAATAAATTATATTTTAAAATGTATTGGAATACAAAACATTTGTTTTAAAATGTAATGTGCTGTACCATGTCGGGATAGTAAGCCACAGCCCTGGGGTCCGTTTTCTCTTCTAACACTTTAAACAGGATGGGCAAATCAATGATGTCCTCATCATCCAACCCCAGCTCTTTCTTCAGCACGTCCCTGTTCCAGTCAATACAGTTCTGAGTGAAAGATTAGAAGATGCCAGCATTATTCTCTCCCATCATCTGTCAAATCTGCCTACAAATACATCTAGGTACTGTTTGGACACAAAGCGCATCTTAATGCCATGTGTTAAAGCGGTATTTGTGAATGTTGTGTATTTCCCTGACCTGCACGTATCCGTTTTCAGCCTGTAGCTTTTTGTCGCTCAGGATCTCATTTACAGAGATGGCCTCTGGCAAACCTGTTCAGGCAAAACTGTTAGCTGTGGTGGACCGTAAACTTTTTTGAAACAGAAAATTGGTGAGTGTTTACCCGGAAACATTCTGCTTTTCCATGTCCGTTGTTTTGCAAGCTTTTGAAAACTTTGTATCCGGCGTCAGGGCTAGCCAGCAGCAACCTGAATTTCTGAACAATCCAACCATTACAGTTAGCATTGTTTTGGGTATTTAACCAAAAACTGGCTATGTTCAGAATAAAGTACTGGCATTTAAAAATGTACAGTTTTTAATGTATTTTTGATTAAATGCAGCCTTGGTGAGCATAAAGTCTTAATTATTACAATCTTTTGACTGGTAGTGTATTGTAGTATTCTGAGCGTATCGGTTTACCTTTCGGTCAGGGGCTGGAACAAAGGTCATGAACTCATCCACATGACCCACAACCAGCCAATCAGAGTACAGCGCTATTGGCTCTTGAACCTTCTGTGCCCACAGGAAGTCCTGGACAACTTGGGTCATGTTGCGGCCACGTGTTGCACTTCAAATTAAATGCAAATATTCTTGATGAATTATTCTTTCAGGTAATAGTTTGTTTATTCGAATCAACATATATCTTGTTTGGAACAATATGAAGTCGAGTAAATAACGACGTCAATGTTTTAGTAGTGGTTACTGTTAGGAGGGTAGAGTTGTGCTGCTTACGTAGGGAACGCCACTCCAATGATGATTCTGCCAAGTGGGTAACTTTTCCCGTTCACTGTGACTGGTGGACTAACTTCCAGGTTACCAAAGGAGTCCAGACTGCTCACTTCCTCATTCAAAGCATGCCGTGTCACGTACCCGAAGTCTGGCCCCTGTGACACAATCTTTAGATTAGTACATGCTCGGAATTTGATGCCAATGTTGGTTTGGAATAACATGAGCATTTTGGGTGAATTTTTTCTTTGAGCATTTATCCGTCTCACTCACCAGAATGGACTCGTAGGGGAAATCCTGAAGATCTCCATCACGAGGAGAGTCCAGTACAACAGGGAACTGATGATGGGGAGAGTCAATGTAGCCAAACTCAAGCTCATCCTGTGGAAAGAGAGTCAGTAGGAATTACTCATCTCATATGACAGTCACCTGACATGCTTGTCTAGTTTACAATACATCATCCTATGCAGATTTCACTGACCTGCATCCAGCGGTCACCTCGGTTCATGTACTCATGACATATTTTCAGTTTGTAGCCACACTTTTCCACCAGGTTCTTTATGCTCTTCAGGAACGAGTAGTTATCATTTGTGCTGCAAGAAAGACAAAACAGTCAGTATTCCCCATGACTGAAAGAGTGAGTAGCAAAAATACTTGGAAATATCTGTATTTATTTCTGGAAATGGCATTATTTGTTATATGATATATGAAGGGTTAAACAGAAGCTTGGACTGAATCACCTGCACACATACACCTCCACAGGTTTGAGCGTGTTTGGGGTCATGATCCAGGGAGAAACATGAAATACCACTTTATCTGTAAAGACTGGAGTTTCAGGGAAATCCTTTAAGAAAATAATAACAACAAATGCAATTAGTATTTAGAGGTTATAAGAGAATATTACCCCAAAAAACTTATTTTATTCATTTTAGTCATTTTATAGAAGAGTGTTGTAGTGTAACTTTTATTACAAGACTGGAGCAGTTCTTGCAGTAAGTAAAAGAACGGAATGTTGTATGTCCTCCAG